CATAGCTGTTAATCCCAGCACTTGGGAGGCAGAGGCAGGCAGATCTCTGTGAGTTTGAGACCCACCTGGTCTACACAGTGAGTCCCAGGACAGTCAAGGCTACACAGAGAAACTCAGTCTCGAAAAACAAAAACAGAAAATAAAGCAAACAACAAAAACCTATTATGGGATAGGGATAGGCACTGTGTTTTATATATATATATATATATATATATATATATATATATATAGTAAGATTAAATTATAAAACAGATACATTCACTTTTTAAATTTATAATCTATTGGAGATCATAGGTATTAATGAGATAATTTCAAAATGATGAACCTGTAAAAGGTGCTGGGAAGATCCCAACTGGGGAATGAACAGACGGTACATAATGCCAATTACTTCTCCCCTCTGAACCACTGCAGATTCTCATGGCTTTTAGTAGCCACCCCTCTCTTCCCTTATATTAACTTTACTATAACTGAGGTCAAGCTTGAAAAAACGCTTCTTCTCCCCTACTGGCATAGTATCCCCAAAGCTCATCTTGATTAGTCCTAACATTGATACCCAAGTCAATTATATTATTTTCTCCTGTTACCTTGAACATTTTCCAGAGATTTCCCTAAGCGCACACACACACCACACATGTCTTAAAGAGAGTAAATATTCAAGAGGTTGCAAAATGTTGAGATGATCAGGGGAACTTGCCTATAAACACTTGCCTAGTTCATCTTTATCACATAAACTACATGAGGACACAGTTTTAGGGTTTCTGTTGCTGTGCTAAAACACCATGACCATAAAGCAAGTTGGGGAGGAAAGAGTTTATTTGGCTTACAGTTCCATATCACTGTTCATCATCAAAGCAAGTTAGTCCAGGAATTCAAGCAGGCCAGGGACCTGGAGGCAGGAGCTGATGCAGAGGCCATGGAGAAGTGCTGCTTACTGACTTGCTTCCCATAGCTTGCTCAGCCTGCTTTCTTATAGAACCCAGGACCACTAGCCTAGGGATGGCACCACCCACAGTGGGCAGGGCCCTCCCCCCATCAATCACTAATTAAGAAAATGCCCCACAGGCTTGCCTGCAACCTGATTTGTGATTGAGGGTTCCTCCTCTCCCAAAGACTTGCTCCTCTCTCAAGTTGACATAAAACTATTCAGCACACACACTTAATCATTGTAAAGTGAGAGTTTTATACTGGCAGCCTTCGAGAGTACTATTAATCTTTTTACAGGCAAAGCAAACAGCACATGTGTCTTCAAAAGTTGGGAACTATTTCTAAAGTAATGTCACTGTGGATCCAGAAATCTTACATAATGTAGAAGAGTGAAGGTTAAAACAATGGAATCAATTACATGACAGACATGTTAGGAAGAACTAACCCAAAAATGGAGGAATGGAACCATCTACAGTATTGTCTAATAACCATTTCTCAGGTCTCTTTATTTGGGCATTGATCATGAAACTCTACAATCATTTTCTCCTTGAAACACTCTTCCATCAGTTCCTTCCATGTCATCAGTCAGACCTGGTTTGCTTCGTTATTCTGGTTGCTCCTTACTTAGTATGACTGTGCTTATACTGAAAAAAATAATTTAAAAATATATGCACTTTTGTTGCCACCATTATTTTATTAATAATTAGTTCTCTTGGCCACTAGTTTTTGTCTCCTATAGATTTATTCCTGGAGTATTATATGTGATGTGTACCATGTATTATTTCTCCTTTGGCAGTTATAGTGAATATGTATATTCATTAAGGTTCCAGTCTTTCCTGTAACTTTTCATGTTTACCCTGTATTGCAGTTTGAATGTAATAGACCCCATAATCTCATAGAGTGACACTATTAGGAAGTGTGGTCTTGGTGGAGGAAGCGTGTCACTGTGGGGGTGAGCTTTGAAGTCTCTCATGCTCAAGATACCACTCAATGTCACAGACTACTTCCTGTTGTCTGCATAGCAACATGTAGCAGCTACCTCTCCATGGCCTATAAGCTCCCATGTGTGGCCATGATGATAACGAACTAAACATCTGAACTGTAAATGAGCCATCACAATTAAAAAGTTTGCCTTTATAGAAGTTGCCGTGGTCATGGTGTCTCTTCACAGCAATAGAAAGCCTAAGACACCTTACTAGATACTCTTGCTGACGTCCACATACTTCACATGAAGCAAAGCCAGTGGGCAGCAGGAATCAAGGAGCAAAGTACTCCTCCCTTACAAACTTGGTTGTTGCAGATAATTCATTGTAATAATGCAAAGATGATAAACACAACATTGAAACCTGGCAATTAAGTTGTATATTATTCTTTCACCTCAAATATCTACTCAGAAAAATTCTGTCAATTTTACATCTGTAAAATTATTCCAATTCTTTCATCCTCTTAATATTTTAGATAGCAAAAAAACTAGACCTGATGGAGTTAGAGAGATGTCTCAGGAGTTAAGAGCATCGAGGCTTTTTTCAAAGGACCCAGGTTTAACTCCCAGTACTTACACAGTGACTCACAACCATCCGTAACTATAGTTTCCTGAGACCTGACCTCCATAGACACCAAGCACACACGTGCGCACTTACATACATGCAGGCCAACACTCAAACTGAAAATCAACCTTTAAAAAATATAGAGAAAGATATGATGAGGAACCGTAAATGACCTTGTAAAAATATTGGGGATGAGGCACGAACGCACCCACTGCAGCAGTTATAATTTTAGAGAGGAAATATTTCTTCCTGGAGTTTCTGAACAAATAGAGGTAAGTCATCAGGTCATGTTGTGTCAGTTGAAGGTAAGTCTACAGAGATCCACTTCGTTTTCTACATGCCTGCGGGGGTTGGGCTAGAAGCGCTAACTTAATCAGCCTTGTTCTCACTTAGGTGGAGCGCTAACTCCTAAAGTCTCTCTTTCCTGCCTTTGCCTCCCTAGATTTACCTCTGGTTCCAGCTGAGAGATGATCTCAGGTTTTAGAGCTAGAAATCCTACTCAAGGGAACGAAATACGGTATGATGGCAAGTTAAAGGATAAGGCACGCTGGGTGGTGGTGCAAGAGACAGGCGATCTCTGAGTTCGAGGTCAGCCTCATCTACAGAGCAAGTTCCAGGTCTACACAGAGAGAAACCCTGTCTGAAAATTAAAAACAAGATAAAGCATCATCCCACTGTTGGCCCCACGGTGTCTCTGAATGGACTGGAGCTCAAGTAGTCCAGGCTGGCCGAACAGAGAGCCCCAAGGATCCACTTGTCTCTACCTCCACCATTCTGGGATTAATTTTTTCCTTAATGTGAGTTTGGGGGACGGAACTCAGGTCCTCCTGTAAGATGAACCCCTTACCGACTGAGGTATCTCCAGGCCCCCAAGATATAAAACTCTATATTCAGAGTTCTATATTATAAAATTTTAAAATAACTTTACATTTTCTTTTTGTAGTCAGTACTACTATTGACAAGTTCATCTGTTCAATGTTTGTTGAGAAGGAACAAGTTCCAAGTGCTATTTTGGACAGAATGGATACTCAGCTTTTCTTTTCATTGTAATTTCTTTGTATTGTTCTCTGAAAAAGAACCTTCATATGTTTTGGAGGTCTTGTTGTCTGTTTGTTTTTAATGTTGTTACATTTAACTATACTATATGGTGTCTTTTTAAACTTTTTATTTATGTGTTTGTTAGAATACTGTATTTTCTCTTTTTTGCATAATATAATCACATATTTAGTGTGTTTCTCCCCAAAAACTTCTCTATGACTATTATTATTCCTCCTCCTCCAAGACAAGGTCTTACCATGAAGCTCTAGTGGGCCTGAAACTCACAGAAATCCACCTGCCTTTACCTTCCCAAATGTTAGGATTAAAGATGTGCACCGCCACACCCAGCCCAAAACAACTCATATTTGTCACTTCTGTGGCTGTCTGGTCACTTGTTAACTGTGTTCTCTGTGCCCTGCCATCAAGGAGTTGGATGGAACTGTGTTATCATAGGAAGGTGTCATGAATCATCTACTTCTAAGCACATGGGAAGAATTTGGGTACTGTGGGTGGAGGAAGCGAAGGCAATACCTTCTTGCTGGCTGTTGGCAGGATGCCATCTCAGGATTAAAGGCAGGCTCCCTTTAATATGGGTCTCCGCCACTTCACTACTGGTTTCATCAAAGAAGGCAAGGGAGAACTCTCCCGGCATTGGATTCTTCCATCGTCATTTTTGTTGTTGTTTGATTGGTTTTTTATTGTCTTTGTTTTTCTGAAGTCCTTTATTTACTGCATTATCCTGAGGGAGCTCAAAGCTGTGTTCACTCACACCGCAGTCCCTGCTGTTGACAACTGAGAGTGGCTTCATGCTAACTTCACGCTTTTGATTCACTCCTGTGAATAGAGCAATTCTTAGCGGAGTTTGTCTCTGAGGACAGTGTAAGCTCAAACAACCACCCAAGTTGTCTGTTCCACTCTAAAGTTCAGTGGCTTTGGAAGGAAGGATTTTGAGAGTAGGAGTGTTCCTGTTCCTGTTCACAGTCGATCAGCAACCAAACCATTTCCTTTAGATTCCGGGTATCCTGAGGAATCCTTTTACAAACTGTCACACGATCATTACCTAACATTCCTTGTTGAGTTTAGGAGTAAAAGGAGCCTTCAGCTTTAGGTCCCTACTCCATCTTCCATATAGCCAGCCTTTCTCCACGTGGTCCTTGGTGGCAGATGTTCTTTCACAGTGGTCACTGGAGCAGAACTATTTGCCATTTTCCAGTGAAAAACGGGAAATTAAATAAGTTACGTTTTATTGATAATGTATAGAATGTCAAGTACAGTCACTTTGTCACACAAGAGGAAAGAGTACATAGTAGATGTGGGCAGAAAGAGTCACCTGGCCCCTACCCATAGGGACACTTCAGGATGATATGTTCATTGTTCTAGAATCGGAAGAATCATACCTCTTGTCATAATCATCCTCTCTGAGGAGGGACCGACTCATCACAATTGTCACTATAGCTGGTGATGAGATCAGAGGGATCTCTGTCCTGTGGGACAGGAGGGAGGACCAACAAGCTCCAGTAGATGACGGTGGGGTTAGCGGGTAATGAACCGACACATTGTTATCTCAGCTCGTATGCTGCAACAACGTAGTGGTAAAATTGATGGGCAAATAAGTTTCATCTGACTTCTCTCTTGCCTAAGTATTTCTCACATCAGCAGATGCAAGTGCTTGGGAGAAACAGTATGGCAGGTGACATTACTGGAGTCTGCAGTATTAACGGTGTCAAGGACACAAGAAGCTGACTCATCCATCACCTGAATGAGAGGATGGGGTAAGGAACTCAGAGGACCCTTGTGGGCAGCAAGCACACTGCTCTCCGGTTCTTCGCTGTATTCTGGACAGAGGAGCCAACCTCAGGGGCATTCACAGGGTCACCCGGTAATGGGGTCCTACAGCCGTTGAGAATGAGTCTCAACACCGTGGGCTTCTGGTCAGTGGAAGTTAACACTTTAAGCTGGGGCATCTTGGCTTTCAAGGGGAAAGGCAGAGAAATGATCAGCCAACAGGGCTCTCATGAGGAGCTGGCCCTGCTCCATGACACATGGTACTTTTGGGCTGTTGGGGCGGCTCTAAGGATTACCCACAACTCTTTCCTGCATGGCATACCTCACCCATTGACACTGTCTTATTGGATGTGTGGGGGAGGGGGTGGCTCAAGCCTATAATTTCGGCATTCAGGAGGCAGAGGCAGGAAGATCTCTAAGTTCAAGGCCAGCCTGGTCTAACAAATTGAGGTCTAAAGCCAAGGCTGTTAGACAGAGAAATCCTGTCTCATGAAAAAAAGAAAGGAAGGGAGGGAGGTAGGGAGGTAGGGAGGAAGGAAGGAAGGAAGGAAGGAAGGAAGGAAGGAAGGAAGGAAGGAAGGAAGGAAGGAGTATAAAGAGCCCTTTATTTTTGTCCAGCAACCAAGATTGGGCTAACACCTCAGGAAGACTCTTGGTACAGAAGCTGGGGGTTCAATGGTTTTAAAGGCAAAAGGCCACACAGACCATAATTATATTGTTGTGCCCAAATTCTGAACCCCAAAATCACCAAGAGGCCCATTTCGATGCAAAAGCAAAGAGTCTTTTATTGTAGATGTTTAACAGCTAACCCCATTAGCTCAGGCCCTTCACACAGTCAGCATGGCGAATGGCTGGAGAAAGATACCAAGCAACCTCAAGGCAGGGATCTTAAAGGGCAGCGTAAGGGGAGTGTCTAGGGGTATGAAACAGTCTCAGGATTGGTGCACTTCCAGGTTTGGGTGACCCGCCCTGTGTTGATTGGTCAACTGGTTGTTATGACCCATAGGTCTCCCAGGGTGGTTGCTATGTTCTGCAAGTCACTGTTATGCACTGTCCATAAAGCACAGCCCTGCCAGCTAACTTCTGATTGGCTCCTTGCCACAAGGAGGGCATCTGACCTCCTAGTGACCAGAACAGGAGCAGCAAGGTGATGCGAGCACATGTTACCCTGTCATGGCTGCTAAAACAGGGAGGCTGGTCACTACATTATCAATCTTAGATGAAGGTCAGGGTAACTTCAAAACATTTGTGTTGGCAGAACATACTATTTATTTCTGACACCACATGACAATTGATTTATACTTTTTTCAGTTATTTTAGTTTATTTTTAGCTTGTACAAACATTATTTGGGCTAATACATCAGGACCACAGTTAGAGTCATAGAAATGTGTTGCTAAGACTGACATGTCTGCTTGGGGTGGAGGTGAGGTAGTGTTGAGATGTGTCTAAGCAGACACAAAAATAGTCATGACACAAACATAGAGCAGGACAAGATGGTGTTACCTTTGCCACTTGTTCCCCCATTTTTTTAAATGTCACGATTTAATCGTAAATTGATATAATAAAATTTAAAAACATAATTCTTCAGTTCCACTAAACACATTTCAAGTACTCAAAAGTCATAGTGGCTACCGAATCAGACAGCACAAATATAAGACTTTTTTTTATAATCATAGAATTCTATTAGACAACACTGAAATGGAAACCATAATTAAAATAAAAGATGGCGGGGAAGGGAGGAACTGGAGATGGCTCAGTGGTTAAGAATGCTTGCTGTTCTTCCAGGGGACCAGAGTCCAGATCCCAGTACTCACATCAGATGGCTCATAACGAACTGCCTTTAACAGCGGCTCCATCCCCCCATTTCTTCTAGTGACTTTCAAACCCTTGGTTTTGACTAAAAGATAAATGTTGGGTCCTGAGGATAATTAGCTTAATCAAGACAATCTTGGTTTCTCTTATAATTTTTAAAAAGAAATTTGTTATACTGGGCCCCACAGCAAGTCCTATGCAAAGGAAGAGCAGAGGGCCAGCGAGAACAGTGAGAAGGGTCATGAGCCATGGGTTCCAATCAGTCTGGAGTACCAGGAGTTATTCGATTCATGTGCCTGTTGTCTTCCATCTCTAATCTCTTGTAAAGTCTCTTTCATAAGTCCTGATTTGTTAGCATAGAAGCAGCAGGTCTCACGTAGAATCCCACCCCCACTCCTACCTCTGTCCAGAAGGCAAAAGGGACAGTCTAGGAACACTGCAAATAAGTGTCTTTGTGTCTCAGATGTGAGGTGGTAGTTCCCTAACTATGCTAGTGGCTCCCTGAACTCCCTTCCTTTTATTCATAAATGGCCCCATCAGCGTTTTAAAAAGCAGATGCCTCTGCTCTTGTATCTACCAAGAACTTAACTGGGGCTCCTCCTACTGATGCTGCAACCAGCGGCTGTTGGAGGCCTAAGAGAGCAGAGCCTGCCTGGCTCCCTCATTCTGATTTGTTGTCCAGCTCCCTTGTGGCAGGAGAGTCTGTGCTTCCTTGGGTTTGGAACCGCTTGGACACTGATTCCTCCAGTGTCCTATTTCCTTACTGCAGGCACATGGATCCCTTCCCAGTGCAGGGTTTCCCACTCTCCCCACTTTTTGTTTTGGGGTGGGTCTCTTCTCTGGGTGTGAGCAGTTGGGGGCTCAGGGTGAGCTGAATGGAATGCAGCCATCATGAATTCTTCTGTCAGTGTGTGACTTGATCAGTGACCATGGCAGCTTGTTTTTGTTTCTCAGCTACAGAAATCCCTTTGGGCCACCTCTGTGAGCTAGTATTCATTCCAGCTAACTTTTGTAGCTTTATGCAAGGATCAGAAACAGACTGAGTTACAAATGCCAAATTTAATGCCCTTGTGTTTTCTGGAGCCAGTGGGTAAAAAGGCATGTAAATTTGAAAGCCTTCCTGTAACCACTCAAGAAACATCCCAGGAGATTCCTCCTGTCCCCGGAGAACCTCAGTTGTCTTAAACAAATTAGTGGGTGTTCAAGCTGAACCCCAAATCCTAGACGTAAGGTAGTAGCAAAAAGGGTTCAAGTCTTGAGAACTGGGGGGCATGTTGTAAGTGTTGCAGCTCAAATGGAAAGGCATCCCAGGCAGTCAGGAGCCATGGAATACCACAAAGCACTATAAACCTTACAGCTCTGCTCCTGCAGAAGTGTTACAGCTTGACTCTGCTCCAGCAAAAATGCATGCCACATCCCGCAACAAACGCCACTCAAGAGATTTGTTAGGAGGGAAAAACCCAGGAGGCTGGCTGCCTCTGCTAGGGTGGGAAGCAGCAGCAAACCGAATGGAATATTTGGGCTTATATAGGGTTGGGGGCAGGGCAGAGTGGCTTGGGATTGGAGGGGTTTTCAGTCCTGACTCTGGGGCAAGCTCAGGGACTGGTGGCATTTCAAGTCCTTGGCCCTGGTTTGGGCGTCAAGTCAGGGTCAGATCGTTCTTTCCCTGGTCCTTTAACCCTACACATATTGGGGTCCCAATCAGGGCATTTGGATGGGGCATCTTCATTAAAATTGTGTGGCCTCTCAGTTTCCATCGGTGCCAGCAGCCAAGGACAGTCCTTTGCCTCTGCCCCTTGTTCAAGTTTCACTGAAGTAAACAGAGTCATAAGGAGTTGTTAATCATCCCCGCTGAGACCCTGGGAAAAGAGAATAAATTCTAGGAGAAAAGTCAGGGCTTAGGATTTTTTCAGAGAAAGGGGAGTTGGGGGTTTTGCATTTATACAGATCTGAAGTTAAAAAGAGACATGGATTAGGAAGGGCATTGCCTCCCTCCTAGTCTCTTATTTCCTTGAATTCCCCTCTGACTCAGGAGGGAGAGGTCTTCTCCCAATGGAAAAGCAGAGACTGTGTCTAAGGAGTCTCTGGAGCACAAGGAGATCTCAAGCAAGAGGCCCATGGGGATGAAGGAAATAGAGGAAATGGGATGTCTTCATCGGAAGGGAACATGATGGTCATACAGGGAGAAGTGGAGGATAAGATAGGGAGTGCAGTCCATAGAAGAAAGTGGGGAAGAGGGTAGAAGGCCTAGTGGAAATAGAAATGAACAAATTGGAGAGTAAAACACAGCAACAGGATCTGGTGTTTAGATGGTGAGAATCAAAAGTTGATTATACTCTGATTCTGGCAAATGCAAATGATGCATTGGCAGTGAATGCTCACACTGAGGGGTGGGGCTGTTTAGACGTGTGAAATCAAAGTGGGTGGGCTAGCTCCACAACTGGAGAGACTTAACCACCGTCCCCTGAGAAACCAACTTTTATGACAAATGCGGAACTGTTTTTTTGTTTTGTTTTGTTTTCTTGCAAAGAACTTATTGGCTCAATATTTTCAATTCTACTCATATGAGGTTTTAGGATTGCAAATAGTCTCTGAATACAAGACCATTGGAATGAATGGGTGTACAACCAGGATCCTAATCTAAAAATACAGCTTTCGTATAGTTTGAAGACAAAGGATGAGTTTGGGGAGGGTAAAACCATGGCTGAAAGCCATATCATGCCTACAGTAAAGAAATTTGGGCTGAAGCTGCATAGGGGTAACTGCAGACAAGGCACAGAGAGAGCCACAGAGACTGCGTCTCCCGCGTTCCACTTTCGGGTACTGTGGACTCTAACCAAGAAAATTTCTCGCGCGAGAGGAATCCGGCTTCGCCCCTGAGCCACTTGTGGTCCCACCTGCCAAGAAACCCGGGTCCGGCTGCGCGCAGGAGCTTCTGGGAGTCGTAGTTTTTGGCCGTGCCCCCGCAGAATGTCACGCATGCGCGACTCGGAGCTACCCCGAGAAGTTCGTAGCCTTTGTCAGGCCCGGGATGGGAGGTGAGTTGCGTGGTGGGATGCTGCGGTCCTCTGTTTACCTCGGTGGTGGTCTACTGGTCGTCCCGCGCCAGATGGGACTGGAGTTCGCAGTTCTTGAGCTTCGTCCCTTCCCTGCCCCCACGCTCCGGCAGGGATCGCTCCCTGCGGGACCCAGGTGCAAACAGGAGCAGCGGGCGGAGCTGGCTGGGCGCGAGGCACGGTTGTCTGCACCCTGTGCTATCTCAGGCGTTTGGTCCCCCAAGGACAGCTCCAGTTGCCAGGGACAGGCATGTGAAGACCCAGATTCAGGATGCTTTCCCTGGTTTCCAGGTTCCACGCAATCTGAGTGACGCTCTCCGCAGAGCCCAAGAGGGAAGGAGCCGGAGAAGAGCAGAACCCTGGGGACATTGAAGAGGTGGTGATTGTGGAGATGGATTTTGTTGAAGTGTCCCAGAAAAGAGGTAGAGTTGCTGGGTTGTTTTTGCATCGTGAAAAAGTTGTTCTTCCCTTTGAAGGGAAAACCCACCTTTTCCTTGAGTTGGGTGTTTCTTGGGGGGAAAAAAGGGCGACTTGTGAACACTCTCTTGAGGTTAAGTGGGCTCTGAGAAGTTGCAGTGTTTGCTGTGGGGTCAGTCCTCATCCACTTAAATGTGCCCCACAGTGGAACCCCCGGGGAGAACATTGTCACAATTTAGTCACAAGTTCTTCCAAATTATTGTTCATCCTGGTTTCCTTCGTGGTTACAAGAATTCAGCTTTGTAGTTGGCAAAAGTATTTTTCCACACTTATTATCCCACTTTATCTATACAGTTAACAGTACCATCTCAATACAGATAACTCGAAATGTATTTAACAGGCACAGACGTGTGGGGCTGATGTCAATACTTCTAAACCAGTGTTTCTTGAACTTTAGTCTGTGACCTATTGTGCCCGAATTCCCTCCAGGGGTGCTTCTCAGATTTCTGTGTGTCAACCAATCATAATTTGGAGGTGAGATCTAGCAGTCTACATCTTTTTGTTTGTTTGTTTTGTTTGTTTTTGGTTTTTTTTTTTTTGAGACAGGGTTTCTCGTGTAGTTTGGAGCCTGTCCCGGAACTAGCTCTTGTAGACCAGGCTTGGTCTTGAACTCACAGAGATCTGCCTGCCTCTGCCTCCCAAGTGCTGGGATTAAAGGTGTGCGCCACCAACGCCCCCACAAGGAATTTAAAAAACAAAAACAAAACACCATTGAGTCTGCTTCTAAGATTTTAGGTAGACTATGATGGGAACTTACTTATTCTAGTTGGTAGACCAGAGAATTCTATTTTCTGGGAGTTGTTATTAGTGCAGCAACTAAATGGAAGCCAGAGGAGCCACGTTCCTGGGCATATTCCACAGTACTAGAAAGTAACAGTTTGTCTTGGATTCCCTGCAGTCTCTGTTAACAGTGGGTGCATTTGGTGTGAAGGGGGTTTTAGACTGTAAACTGAGTATCGAGATGGTTCTACAGCCTGTCACTACTGCTTTCTTGCCCTTAGCTCTGTCTTCCCAGGATTCCCTCCTTTCCCAAGAGAAGAGTGCAGAAGGACAGGTGGCTTCCCTGAGGCTCATAGCCAAGTCCCAGGTGAGTCTCCATGGGTTAAGATCCAATTCCATCTTGTGTCTCAGAGCACATATGCACTCCCTTTTTGATGTGGGATTTATTTGTCCACAGAGCCCATCTAGAGACCTGAGTTCTAATTCTAAGAGACTAAGGACTCAGTAGGAAATGTTTTCTACTTACTCACAGTACCTTTCCTCTCCATCTAGTATTTATTGTATCTCTACAGGCAGGTAACCCACATTTCTCCCCCACCCCCAATGCTAATATCTGCATTTGGTAATGTGGAAAGCTATTTTAAGGGTGATACAGTACATACTTCTTGAAACTTGCATTTCTCTAAGGGAAACAGCACATGTGTGACTGTAAGTAGGAACTTAAGACATCACCTTAAATGCTGAAGTGATTAGAATAATAATACATACTCAGCTAAAACTGGCACTGGAAGAAGAACGCTTATGAAGGCTTAGAAACTCAGTCCTCCCTGGGGATGAATTTCAAGTAGTCGGTCTACAATTCCTCTTATCACTTTTGTCCCTCCCATATAGAGCAAGTATTTCAAGAGAGAATTATTGGATATGGAATGGGTAGCAGTTGTACTAATTGCTGTGTTCATTTGGGCATTCTACAGCCCAAAGATTCCTCAGTCAGCCTTTGCTAGGTATAATGCTTGTAGAAATGGCTTCTGGCCCTTTTTATACTTTCTCAACTTCCCTGGGAGTCTTGACAGACTATACTAACCCAAGAAGCTTCAGCGGAGCCTGAGATACTCATCTTAAACTGGCCTGTGCAAAAGGCAGTCTCGATTAACCAACCTAACTGAAAGTCCAGGTTTGGCGAGGTAAAGGATTTAGGCAGTAACATGGAGAGATAGCTTGTCCATTTTGTTGACCTTTTTTGCTCTGAAACAGGCTTTTCTTTAGTGCCCTCATCAAACAAGTGTAGGCTTGCATCTTCAAGGTTGAAGGTTAGCTGTTCCCCTAGTGCTAGGATTAACTGTAGCATCGTCTAAGGCCGTTTCTTACACCATTATTGGCGCTGGCCAAGAGTAGCTATCTGTGGGATACACCAGTGCACACGTGTGGACACACTCTGCCCCTGACTCCAATGGAATCAGTTCTACCCCATCTCCACAAGCTTGAGTGGCCCAGCACGGGGGCACAGACAAATCAAGGTACAGATACCAGAAACAGGGTGAACAGTTGGTGCATTTTGATACCTTGATACTAGATTGAAGACTGTTATATCATCATGGTGGATAGACTCTTTTATAGATAGTTTTAAAGTATGTCCTTTTTTTAATTTTACTAGATTTTGTATAATACTAATATTGGAACTTTTGTGCTCAACTCTGCCTGAGTCGGTTGAATTTTTTTAATCTTTTCTTAGTAGTTCTAGAAAATATGTATATTAGTTTTAGTTCTTACTGATTTAACAAGCAGCACAGAATATACAAATATATAGGTATGATAACATTCCTCCCAAAGCATCCCCTCACCTCTTTCTACAAAGAATCACTGTCTGATGTGTATTTTTCTTTATTTTGTTGGGTTTAGACTACTGAATCAAGATGACATGAGGTACACTGTATTTCCTTCCATTTCCCTCCCTGTTTCCACCCGCTGGGTGTTTCAGTTAACCTATTCTGTAAATAGGATAGAGCTTTTAACAAGATCATTTTATAAGGAACTCTGCTCCCGCACAGTGAGTCTGTAGCTCTGTTCCTCCTACTGAGTTTTCCCTACCTTGCTTATAGCCATTTTCATTTTTACTGTTCTGTCTGTTTTGTTTTGTTTTGCCATTGAAATGATGAGCAGTTAATTTCCACTGAAAGTTGATTGAGCTCTGTGTACCCAGATTCTAGTTTCAAGGTCACCTTTTTTTTAATGAAGTTTTTTCTATTTAGTGGCTGCTTGAGGGAGCAGGATTTGCCTGTTATTTCATTTTCAAAGATGATTCTTCTATTTCTAAAATTACTTTGAGAAAAATCTAGACGTGGGAAAGGTTGCAAATAACATGGACATCTCTTTTTCTCATTTCATCCAAACTTCAGAAGTTAACAGTTTTACTTTGTGTTAATCTCACTTGGGAACTGGGACATTAATGTTAGCACAATACAGTGACCTTTGGCCTTTCCCAGATTTCCCAGATGTCTTAGTTTTCTGTATAAAATTGCTGCTTCTGTCTTTTCATTCTCTTCTGAATTTGTTTGTATTCTTTGATATGATTTGTGTGTCCTCATATATTTACATATTTTGAAAATACAAAAAGGTTTTTTTTAGACAGGGTTTCTCTGTGTAGCTTTGGACAGGAGAGGTTTTAGAATCTAGGAAATGTCAAGAGTGCTGTGCATCCCCAGAGTTTTTAACCATTTAGCACTGGACTTTGCATTTTGCTTCTTTATTTTTATGTTCCAACATAGTTTTACAATTATCATCAAGCATAGCTTTATTCCTATTTGGGAATTTACTAAAATCTACCTTGTTGGTTTTTTACGAATGCTTTGAGTGTTTAAATAGAAGGTACCTTATGTCCAATTAAGCATTTATTTCAGCAAACTTGGAATATTGTTGCTTTTCTCTAAAAGGGGCACATTCAATACCAATGTGTAGTCATCTCTCTCTTTTTAATGTTACTGAGATGTAACCTTATGAGATTTTTTTCATAACCACTTTTGAGTTACATCTGTAACCTTAATCAGTTTATTACCGTTTTCTAATTTAATGCCCTATATCTTGAATTAATTGCACATTTAGCTGGATTTGTTGTTCACTGACAGTTTTTTCATTCTATGACCTCTCTGTTTGCAACCTCTGCATTATAATTCTTCTGAAGACTATAACATGTTTTGTGCTTATTAAGGACTTATAAGGGAAGTATGCAGACATTTTTTTCCTCAGTGTTTATATCTTATTTTTTTTTACAGAAAAAAATGGCAGTCTCTCAGTGGTGGAAACTGTCTTATTTCTGAATGTGCTTGGTATTCAGTGAAAGTACATAAATTATTTTGGATCTAAACACTATTAGAAGCTCATCACTTCTCTTGATGAGTGTGTCTTGGTTGTATTTCCATCAGGAACAAAATGAAAGGAAGGGACATTGTTTTGGTCAGGGCTCTCTAGAAGAACAAAACTGTCAGAATGAATATATATAAAAGAATGCCTTAGAGACTGTAGTCCAGCTAATCCAACAGTGGCTTCCTCCTGACAGAAAGTTCAAAACTCCAGTAGTTATTCGGTCCATGAGGGCAGACATCTCAGTTGGTCTTCAATATATGTCAGGATACCAAAGAAGTAGCCCTACCTCCAGTGGAGGAACGCCTCAGCAGCAGGATGTGTGACTACCTACCTCCAGTGAAGGGACGCCTCAGCAGCAGGATGTGTGACTACCTACCTCCAGTGAAGGGACGCCTCAGCAGCAGGATGTGTGACTTGCCAGTGACGTTGAGGGCAAGCAGGCAAAAAGCAAAAATTTCCTTCTGTTGTGAGAATTCTAATTGATCCCATGTTTCTATATCCGTCGCCTTGAGAAAGTGTGGTCTAGGGTTAGGGTGGGTCTTCTGACCTGAAGAGATCTGGATTTAAGGTGTGTCTTCCTTCATCAAATTGCCCAATGAATTAAAAATCCCTCACACGTGTACCCAGCTGCTTGGGTTTATAGTTCATTCTAGATGTAGTCAAGTTAACAGCCAAGAGTAGCCATCACAGGTATCAACCAAAAGATGATGAAAGAAGTATATCTGTGTCTTAGGAAACCATGACATTCAAGGATGTGGCCATGGACTTTACACCAGAGGAATGGGGGAAACTGGATCCTGCACACAGAGACGTGATGCTGGAGAACTACAGGAACTTGGTCTCACTTTGTAAGAACAGCTTCTTCCCATGACTCTGAAATCCACTCCTGGGCTGGCATTGCTTCATTAAAACTAAATGCATTAACATTCACTTTTCACTTAGAAGTCATGAAGTATTTCTTTTGGGCATAGAAGGGGGAAAGTGTTTTGTTTTGCTGGATGCTGAGGATTGAATCTGAGCTGAGATGTTGAGGTTTTCTCCATCTAGTCTCAGCCCCACTGGACCGGTTTTTCTCTATCCAGTCCGGTAGAGAGAAACCATTATGAAATAACCACACTGAGACTTAATATCTCTTTATAATTGTTTGGCCTTTGGCTTAGACTTCTTACTGGCTAGTTCTCTTTTAATTATTAACCCATAACTATTAATCCATGTATCTCCACATGGCCTTATCTTACTAGAGAATGTCCAGGCATTGTACCTTCCCAGTAGCTACATGGTATCTTCCTGACTCTGCCTACTGCCTTTCTCTATTCCCGTTTGGATTTCCCGCCTGGCTAAATCCTGCCTGTCCATTGACCAAAACAGCTTTATTCATCAACCAATAAGAGAAACATCTATTTGCAGCATGCAGAAGGACCTCCCCTACCACATACACACTGCCACTGAGCTCTATCCCACCCCATTCTGTTCTAGCTCCTTGGTGAAGTGTTTAGGCTTGTTGTTTATCAAGATTCAAGTGACAGCCTAATGTACACTGGCTTCGTGGGGTGGAATTTAAGGAAGCAAATGTGACATTGGAATTTTGTTTGTTTATTTAAAGTAAATTGTCTTGTCTTTGCCTTCTTCTCTGTGAATTTATTGAGATCCCCCTATGTGGCTGAGGTGGCGTCAGCAGCCCTGGGGTTAAGTTATTCTTCCAGTTGCTCAGAGAGCAGAGCAAAGAAAGGAGATGCTTTTCTTTTATTTTGAAAATTCAACTAATGGACATATGTTCATCAGTAAACAATATAGGGCCGAGAGAGGCAATGCCTGTGGCCCATTTTGGATCCTGTGTGCATTGCATCACTCTGTGTGTGTCAAACCCTGTGCAATCTCCAAAGAGAAGTCTAGTGATTGAAAAAGAAAGAAAGGAAAAATATTGGAAGATAAAAACTGTAGTTCCACAGTCACACTATTGGAGTGCCACTGAAGTCCCCTGTTATTAATATTCTTTTCTGAAGTGAAGATTAATCTGCACTATTGTTCTATTAACCCCCACAGACGATTAGGAAATGGAGAGGCTTTCTCTTCCTTTACAACAAACAAATTTGTCCTTATAAACTCAGTTGAACTCTGCGCTAGTCTAATTAGAGGCTTGCAGGCATCCTAAGCCCCGTTAAGAGGTCCTTCCTCCCTCACGCCCTCACTCCTTGCAGCAGCACGTCTAGATGATGTGGGCATGGAACTAAGTTCCAGTAGAGATCTCTGTGCCCACCATAAATACTTGTTTCATTCATTTTACTTTCTTTCCTTTTTAACAAACAGGGCTTCCCATCTCCAAACCTGATAGCTATAATTTGGATGATGGAAAAGAACTATTGAAGCTTGAGAGAAAACCTCCTAAATGCAGTAACTCAGGTAGGTGAGCTCGATGGGGCACTTCAGTCCAGAAGAAGAGTGAATGAGTAACACTCTGCAGAGCTTGGGAGAGTGTCAGAAATGCCTGTGGTGCCCTGGTTTTCAAAATAATATTTTAAAGTATGAAGCTTTTAAATATATAAGTCAAAATAAAATAATGTAACCATCACCAAAATGAATTGTTTTCTTTCACTTTCCACTCCTTTCTTCTTTCCTTTCCTTTTTTTTTTTTTTTTTTTTTTTGCAACAGTAAAATACATAAAAGCATGGTAATGTTTATGTGGATTTTTACAAGTTGAACACATTCATGTAACTACTGCCTAGATCAGGAAAACAGTCTACTGAGAAGCACTGCCCAGTGTTCAGTCGCCTGTCTCCCACAGGTGACCTCGTCTCAATGTGCAACACCATAGTTGGTTTTGACTGTTGTTGGACCTCATTTAGATAGAGTCGTGTGTGTTCTTTTGAGATTGGCTTCCTTCTCTGAGTTTTCACTGTGAGATGCATCCATGTTGTTGCATGTTGCTGAGATTAGTTCACTCTCAGTGCTGTGTAGCCTTTCGATCGTTATTTCAGTACCCCAGTTTACCCATTCTTTCAAAGACAGGTATTTGGGTAGTGTACAGTTTGGGTTGACATTCTTTCACGTCTCTTTTGGTGAACACATCAAAAGATGTGTGCAATGTAAATATTGCCTTGCCAAAGAGGGTTTACAAAAATCTTTCCAATTACATTTTCACTAAGAGACATTTCAGCTTCTAGTTTTTCCATGTGCTTATCAACACTTAATATCATCTGTGTTTATTTTAGCCATTCCTATGGCTGTGTGATGTCTTTTACTTTTTAAGAAATAAAAATTTTAGAGATTCCAATAAAGTCCTCTCATTCATTCTCTAGAAGTAACCTTTTTTGTCTTGAAGTTGGTATGAATCTTCTTGTATTTGCATGTACAGGTATATGTATGCACATATGCATGTACAAAAAATGTGTATTTTTATTGTTGCAATTTTTCTTCTATAATCTATTTTTAAGCTCCGTTTCATTTTGCTATCAATCTATATTAGTGTGTAATGAGTTGTACATATTTTTTACAAACAATATGGAGTAAGTGCATTGTGTGAATAAACTAGACAATTTGTTTTCACTTTTTAGTCATTAGCAGAATTGTGTGGCTATCTGTTATCACTCATGTTCCTCTTGAGAGCTGACATTAAAGTATATGACTTAAAGAAGATATGTGGCTCTTAAAGTGTCACATTCTAGTTGTATTAGATTTGTGAAGGTCCTTTCCCCATCTTGTCCACCAGTTGACTTAGTGGCTCTCGTCCATCTTGTTAAAAAAAAATGCCACTTTGTGGTTTACATTTGCATTTCTCTGAGTACCAAATATGAACTGTGAGAGCATTTGTGATTCTTGCCTGTTCAAGTCTCCTTGATTTCTTGCAGCTAGCTGTATGTTTTAAATTCTAATACATGATAGTGGTAGTGTTCCAATAAGGCAGAATTGATTCTTCCAGTTTGGAGCATATTTAATAGGCCCCAAATTTAGTATATTGCACTTTAAATTTTTAAGGTCAGAATTAGGCAAGCACTCTATCCTCCAGTTACATTCCTAGCGCTTGCTAATTTTTTTATTTCATTTTAGGGGTTAGAGAGATGGGTTCGAAGTTAAAAGTACATACTGCTCTTGCCAAGGACCTGAGTGTCATTTCCAGCACCCATGACAGACAGCTTACAACTGCCTATGACTCCAGCTCCAGGGGATCGAAAGTCTGTGGCCACTGTGGGCTTCTGACTCACACATACATACCCAGTGTAGACACACATACAGAGTTAAAGAGAAATCTATTAAAAACACGTATTGCTTACTTTATGTGTATGCTGTGGGCCTCGTGAGAGTGTTGGATCCCCTAGTACAGAGTGGTGGAGTGTGATGAGCCTCCCTGTGGGTGTTGGGAACTGAACCTAGACCTTCTACCACAGCAGCAAGTCCCCTTAACCTTTGAGTTCTCCCTCATCACTTTAGCCCCAGCCTTTACTAAGTTTTTGTTTGTTTTTTAATGACATTGGTTTCTCTGCGTAATAGTTCTGGCTGTCTTGGAATTCACTTTGTAGACAAGGTTGGCCTCAAACTCACAGAAATTTACCTGCCTCTGCTTCCCTGAGTGCTGGGATTAAAGGTATTCACCATCACACCTAGCTAAGCCCTTACTAATTTTAAATTGCTTTTTGTGAATTGTTTTGTCATGCCAGTGTCAGAAAGATAATCTGAACTTCATTATAAAAAAATCAAGTATGCAGGTATTTTTGTAAATGATATGAGGTGGATCTTTTTCATGCTTACAGCCTATAATCCAGCATCATTTATTGAGTAATCTTTTATTAGTGATTTGTAACACTACCTTTTGCTAAACCCAGTTGCAGTCAAACTTTCCTTTGGGCCACAAGATTACAAAAAATGAATGGAGACTTATTATTAATTATGAAAGTTTGACCTTAGCTTAGGCTTTTTCTCAACTAACTCTTGTAACATAAATTAACCTGTTTTTATTAATCTACATTCTGCCACATAGCTCAGTTAACTCTCCTCTGTACCATATTGCTGGAGTTTCTTTCCAGCCTGGTCCCACAGCCAATTGGCCCCACATAAACACACAGAGACATATTAATTATTGAACTGTTGGCCGATGACTAGAAATTGTTACTGGCTACTTCTCTGTTAATTATTAACCCATAACTATTAATCTATGTATTTCCTCATGGTCTTATTTTACCAGGAAACCCCCATCAAGTCCTATCTTCCTGATCTCTACATGGTGTCTCTTCATAGCTTCCGGCTCTCTCCTCCTCCTTCCTCTCATAGCCCTGCCTATGCTTCCTGCCTGGCCAATCAGTGTTTTGTTCATCAACCAATAAAAGAAACATATACAGAAGGACATCCCCCGTCAGTACCATATGTCCAACTTCTTCAGTATCTCATTGGCATCTTTCATAGGCTGGATTCATCCCAACATTCCTCTCTCCCTGGAAATCCTGCCTATTCTCTCCTGCCTAGTCATTGCCCATTCCATTCTTTGTTAAACCAATCACAGTGACATGATTTTTACTTCCAGATCTAATGCACTCATAGCCTGCTCCTCCATTGACGTTTTTCTTTTCCCTCCTCCTGTTATATTTCTGATCATCTTTCCCTGTCTGATTCTTCTGGTTAGAGTCTATTCATTTTCACATTTATTTCCCTATTTTCCGTATTTTTTGTAAAACATCCAATAAGAGTGTCAAATCTACTAATTCCACAAAGGCATGCTTTCATCTTCATTAATTCTTACCTGTTACAGAACTGTGTTTTTGTTAAGCACAGAAAAAAAATTGCATTTGCGATGTCTTTTCAGACATGGAAACCAGACCTGAGAGCAAGGATTCAACTTCAGTGCAAGACTTTTCCACAGAGGAATCATACCAGGTTACAAGAGCAGAAAACCTGACACAAAATCCTGTTTATGACTCCAGCTTAGAGACAGCTCGTGATTATGAGCATTGGTTAGCACATCAGCAAGGAAATCAGGAAAAGCACTTAAGACAAATGTTCACTCACATGAACTCCTTCCCTGTGGAAAAAGATAGTAAATGTGATATGTATTGGAAAAACTGCAGTCAGAAACCTCTCCTTATGACTGATGAGAAAGTTCCCAAACAATCATGTGACCTTCAGACATTTGGGGAAAGATTGAGGCGGAAATCAAACTTAATAAAAAAGCAGAGACCTCATAAAGAGAAAAAACCTCATAAATGTGATGACTGTGGCGAACTCTTCACTTACCATTCAGTACTTATTCGACACCAGCGAGTACACACTGGAGAGAAACCCTATACCTGCAGTGAATGTGGGAAATCCTTTAGCCACAGAGCCAATTTAACTAAACATCAGAGAACTCATACTAGAGTTCTCTTTAAGTGCAGTGAATGCAAGAAAAGCTTCATAGAAAGTTCATCCCTTGCTATCCATCAGAGAATCCACATTGGAGAGAGACCTTATGAGTGTGGTGAGTGTGGGAAAGGATTTAACCGAAGCACGCATCTTGCACAGCACCAGTTGATTCATACTGGGGTGAAGCCTTATGAATGTGATGAATGTGATAAAGCTTTCATTCACTCATCAGCACTCATTAAACATCAAAGAACTCACACTGGAGAGAAACCCTATAAATGTCAAGAGTGTGGGAAAGCCTTCAGCCATTGCTCATCCCTTACTAAGCACCAGAGAGTTCACACTGGAGAAAAGCCATATGAGTGTGGTGAGTGTGGAAAAACTTTCAGTCAGAGCACACACCTTGTTCAGCACCAGAGAATTCACACTGGAGAAAAGCCCTATGAATGCAACGAATGTGGAAAAACGTTTAGCCGGAGCTCAAATTTTGCTAAACATCAAAGAATTCATATTGGAAAGAAACCCTACAAATGTGGTGAATGTGGGAAAGCCTTCATTCATTCATCGGCTCTCATTCAACACCAGAGAACTCATACTGGAGAGAAACCTTTTAGATGTAGTGAATGTGGGAAGAGCTTTAAGTGCAGTTCATCTCTCATCCGACATCACAGAGTTCACATGGAAGAGCAACCCTGAAAACAGTATTACTGAGTGTTAAGCAATGTAAGTTGGCTTTATCACTGTGTTTAACGTTTGAATGTTTAAATAGAAGGTCCATAACGGGACCCTCAGGAGCATTTGTACATGTGTATGATTTCCCTTGTCCAGTGTATAACTTTGAACAACAGATCATGAAACCTCTGGCTTGAGATGGCAAAATTTTTTGTTCCCAGTTTTCCAAATACCCATTTTTTTTTAACTCTGGCTATAGATCTCAAAATTTTCTTTCTTTCTTTCTTGTTTTGGTTTTACGAGACAGGGTTTCTCTGTATTGTTTTGGAGGCTGTCAGTCCAGCCCGGCCTCGAACTCCAATTTTTCAAATACCCAATTTTTTTAATTCAAGGAGTGTTTGGGAGACAGTAGTGCTGTGAACATTGTGAAATCTGTTTTCACCATCCTTAGTAAGAGCCTTTCATTTAGTAAGGAAATCTTATTTTGTAGGTTAGGCTTGAGACTTACAGCCTTATCATTAGAAAGACACAGTCATTACTCCAAACTCAAAGACAGACACATGCCATCATTTCCTAAGTAATTTCTGTTACAAAGGAAATGTTGAGGTGAAAGCTGCTTAAGATTCCATCTCCTATAAAGTGCTATCTAATTTGATGAACATAACTAAAATGTATTTATGATAGATTCTAAGGTAGGTTTACATGAACAATATTCGTCACTTTTTCACATGAATCGCATTATTATTCCTTTGTTTTGAAGATTCATTTTTTAGTTCCCTTGGAGATCCCCTAAAGTACTTAATGGATCAGAGTCTTCCTGACTTTTATTAGCCAGGGTCCTCTTTTCTCATCTTGGGCACTGCTTGAACCCTTGTTTTTTATAATCAGAGCATCAGGGAGAGCTCGTTCCACCACATTATTCGGCTTTCTGTGCACTGTGCTCTGTCACTCTTAGAAAACTCCCTAAGTGTATTGCTGTTTGGATGTATCTGAAAAGTTGATGGGGTCAGTGAATTATTTTATTTGGGGTCCCATTCAAGAAGAGAGCTGAAGCAACTGTGAGGCGCAGTGGCATACTTTGCTGTCAGATATGGGGAAAGCACATGGGACAGCCCTGAAGTGACTTACATGAAGATAAGCATCTTTCATTCTTCCATTTATCTGGCTTTCATGTCTTACTCACATTATTTTGCTGTTCTTCCATAGGTTAGTTGGTCTTTATCCCTGACCTCTTGAGTAAACATGGCATGAAGTCTTACTGATCTACTAGCGTAAGTGACAGAGGTGACCAAAAGTCAGAGACCAAAAGTGACCAAAAGGTGACGAAAAGTCAGATAAGAAACAAAAACAAATGCTCAAATAAGTATTTAGTAAGACAGTACACAATGTCAGGGTTTATGTTTTTCGTTTTTGTTGTTGTTGTTTTGTTGTAGTTCGAGACAGGATTTCTCTGTGTAACAGTCCTGGCTGTCCTGGAACTCCCTCTATAGACCAGGCTGACCTCGAACTCACTGAGATCTGCCTGCCTCTGCCTCCTAAGTGCTGGGATTAAAGGCGTGCACTACCACCACCCCAACAATCAATGTCAGTTTTTTATTATTCTTTTCTGTATTATAAGTTATATGAGAAGAAAATATAGAAAAATTACAAGAAAAGGCAATTGCAGTTTTTTTAGTTTCTCATCTCTTGGGTCCCCCTTCTAGTCCATGCTCTTGCATGACTTGGTTGTAGCAGAGCTGCTCTCTGGCCCATCTTACAGTGATGCTTCAATATCTCTGGTTTCCGCTTTCGTTGCTTGCATTCTTAATTTCCTTGAGACATTTGTAGAAACTGTCATTTTCCCTCCTGAATATCATTAAGCAGAATCCATCTTATGGTTCCAGAGGCTTGAGTTTGCAACTTAAGTCACACTAATGGATTTGCTTTAAGTTAGTCCCTTGGGGAACTCTGGTCCTTTGAATTTCAGTGTTTGTCCCTTTTATGTCTTATATTCAACCTAACTACATGTTTGTATTCAAATATTAATCTTGGAAGTTTGAATTATTTCATTTTGAATGTCTTGGTACTTATAAACTGAATTTAACTGTTCTAATGGCCTGTCAATAAACATGTTGTTTGTATATGTATTGTCAGAAGCTTGTGTACAATACTTTTAAATTATAGCTTGATTATATTTTAAAATATAAAGAAAGGCCAAGCATAAATATTTCCTTATCATTCAAGAAACCAGTTACATTTGTAATTGTTATTTGAACTTCACAACTGCTGGAGCATCAGATCAGGATACCCCTCAGCAAGTCACATATCTGTGAGACAATAATGTAAGAAAGGAAAGGCGTAGTTTAAGAAACTAAAGTAGACATTATATGGTAAAATTGTCTTAGGGGGCTCAGTCTGTAAAATGCCACACAAGCATGAGGACCTGAATTCATTCCCTAGCACTCACATAAATCAAAAGTCAAATGTGACAATGTACACCTGTAACCCCAGTACTGAGGACACGGAGGTAGGATGGTTCCTGGAGTTTGCTGGATAGCCAGTCTACCCAAATCTCTGAATTCCAGGTTCGTGAGAAAGCCTATCTCAATAAGATATGACGACACTTGACAGTACTCTCTGGCCACCAATACTCATGGATATGTGCCCACACACTTGCGTAAACACACACATGATTTAGTGTTAAGGTTTTAATTGCATCCAATTTGGGGAAGCCAATGTCACCATTCAGAATTTAAAGCTTATTGCATAAAAATTCTAACTGGAGGACCAAGAAGGCTGAGTCTGATGAAGCAAGACTGATACTGTCCTCATAGACAAACAAGTGGAGAGAGCAGCCCTTATCAGAGAAGACACAGGGTGGACTCTACTACCCAACTTTTCAAGCACTGGCTTTGCTTTTTAAATAAATTTAACATCATTGAAGAGAAGTGGGTATGCCTACTCTACATTGTAAAAAAAAAAAAAAAAGACACCAACTGTACCAATTTGTCAGGTAATTAGTTTGGCTATCAAGTCTTTCATAGTTGTTATGTTCTTATATGTATTTTCACATCACTAAAAACAGAAAATCTCAAGGTGGGGGCTCCATGTCCGTGTTTTCTCCTCTTCGGTCTGAGGAGTCTATTGCTGTGGAAAGAGTTTGACTCACTCATTTGTACCAATCACAGTCCATCATGAAGAGATGTCAGAGCAGGAACTCAGGGCAGGAGCCTGGAGGCAAGCTTTAATAAATCATAAATAATATATCACCACACCTCTCAGCTTGCCCATAAACTTGCTATTGCCATATCAGAAAAGTTCATGTATGTGAAATAATTTAATCTGTGAAAGCGGAGGTTCAGGCATTGTTAAATCAAGAACTGTTTACTCTCTGCTATTTTTCCTCTGTAATGGCTATGTTTTCCTCAGTTTCTGGTATACAGGCAAATTCATCTACTAGTAACTCCAAGTAATTAGGGGCTTTAATGTTTATAATTCCAAGGAGAGTGCCAAGGCTGCTTCTTAAGTGTGATTGTTTGAATGAAAATGACCCCCATAGACAGGAGTTGGTACCAGGAGTGGGTTATTGCTAGGCCAGACCTGACCATGTTTCTTGGCAAAAATGTGGATTTGAGGATTTGGGATCAGGAAAGCAATTGAACGTTTTAAGTGGGCTTAATGGGCCATCTTAGTAGGAGCATGGAAGACAGTGGTGCTGAGGGAAGTTTGAACTGTGGGGGCCAGACTCAAGAGTTTTCAGAAGAGAACAGTATCAGTGAGTGGTCTAGAGACTGTTCGTGTGATATTTTGGTGAAGTGTGAGTGTTCTGACCTTGTCCAGAAGAATCTGCCTGAGGTGAAATTGAAGAGTTTGGGATTAACAACATTGACAGAGGAGATTTGAAAATAGCCTATATTATGTGTCACATTGTTATTAGTGGCTAGTCATGTGCAGATCTATAGTGAGTAGGAAAAGCCTGAGCAAGGGAAAATACAAAATGTGTGATTTGAGGAGAAAGAAGGCACCGGGAAGTCCTATATTCAAGGAGATAAACAGATTTTTTAAAAGCCTGATGCTAAATGGAATAAAGGGAATGGTGACTTCACCCAGCTAAGATTCCAACTTGTAAAAAGAAATTAAAGAAAATCATAGTGCTCAGCGTGGTGGTGCTCCCTTTAACCCCAGCACTCTGGAGGCAGAGGCAGGTGAATTTCTGAGTTCAAGGTCAGCCTAGTCTACAGAGAAAGTTTCAGGACATCCAAGTTTACGAAGTGAAGTAAACTATCAAAGACAGAAAGCTGGTGAAAATGTATTTGAACAAGGAGACCATGTTCCAGTACCAGCAAGGTGAACTTGGCAGCTGCAGCAACATGGTTCTGGCTTTAGAGTCAAGGATACGAGAAAGGGTTATGGAATCTCCCTCTACAACTAAGGAAAGCTGCTAAAGTCAGGCATGTGTCAGGGGTGTCACCGCATAGAGGCCTAGAGAGGCCATTCTGTGAAGCTGTGAAGGTGAAGCCTGGTTTGCCTTGGAGACCCCAAAATGTTGAAGGTACCAGAGTCATGGGACACCTGCTGAGTAAATAAACTTCACTGTTTTATAAGGTCTTCCTTTTGCTTCAGGGAACTTGTGCTGAAGAGAATTGTCCCTAGATTATCTGTGGGTATGGCCGTCTTAACCAACCTCTGGAAGTCCATGCTAGAAACCTTTGTATGTCACACATGTTGCAAATGATTAAGTCAGACATCAGAACTTACCAAGCATCAATAAATTCACTGGGGAAGAAGCCCACAATAACAGTGATTGCGGGAAAGTTTTCCATGCCTCCCTGTACCAACAAGAAGCCCACAATAACAGTGATTGTGGGAAAGTTTTCCATGCCTCCCTGTACGAACGAGAAGCCACTCTAAAGAGAGCCATATAAGTGCAGGGAGTGTGCGGGGAACAAATCTCTGGCAAGTGCTGGAGGGTGTGGGAACCTGAAACGGAGAGTTTTCCAAGGTTCACAATCCCCTTCCCTCACCATAGCTCAGAGGAGCAAGCACTTCAACCTCAGGGCAGGACTGGGCTGTAGGAAGAGTTCGGCAGGAGCTGCGCTTAGCCCATCTGAATTCACCAGCAAAGAACAACTCAGCAATCTACAGACACAGCTCCAGAGAAAGGGTAAGAAACCCTAAAGTTGAGAAACTGGCCCTACCCATCATCCTCCCACTCCCGATATTACCTGTGGAACAAAAGATCTCTCAGAACCCTAGCAAGAAGGCAGCAGAATGTGGAGCGTGACACAGCACCTGGATCCAAGCAGCAGAGCACAAGCTAAACAAACCATGGGCGTAGCAGCAGAAGTGTGGTGACAGAGTCAAGCTAAGAGACTCTCAACATCCCTCACTCGGCCTTAACAGGAAGGTGCTGTTCGGGTCATTGGAAGTTTGTGACAGAGCTTTACACAGTATTCTAACACACAAAACTAGGAAAATACAGTTTGAGCTCTCGCTCTCTCCCTCAATGATGATGCATTGACTAAAACATAATGTCTTCAACTTTATTTGTATGCACACACATGTACGTTTTTGAGACAGTGTCTTACTATGCTACTCAGCTGGGCTGACCTTAAACTCCCAGAAATCTATCTACCTTTGACTCCTAAGTACTGGGATGTGGTCTAAGGCATGCGCCACAGCACCTGTCCTTAAAAACTTAATTTTTAATTTTTATTTTCTATTTTGTCCATACCTTTTTAAATGTTTCAATTCTTTTCTTAATATGTATGCTTTTGCATTTCAGGCGTTTAGCGTGTGTCTTGCTAGAAAAGGCTGTTTGTCCTCTCCAAGGCTACTATATGATACTATCTTGTGGGGACACCAGACCTTGAGCAGAAACCCACTTCCCCTTCAGCCTGGGAGCAGGCAGCTATGTAATGTTTACTGAAAACAATTCAGTGCTTTAAAGCTCTTGATAGGGCTCAGATAAGGGCTCGCTCACTGAGATACCATGACTTTCACACCCCCTACGGCTAGATGCCTCTTCCTGTCCCCCCTGCGGTGTCTCCCCAATTCTGGGGCCGGAGATTAAACCACCAGCCAGGAGGGTGAGAAGTCTGAAAAGAATTGTATGTAGATGGATGGCAGAAGTCCTTAAAAAGGGAAGCTCTTTTTTCTTGGAGAGACTTCTCCTGAGAGCTCTCTCCTAAGCGGACTGGGGTCTCCTCCTAAGCTGACTTGGGAAGCATAAAGTTTTCTTAAAGCAACCGACCGGTCTCTGTCATCTATCCCGACCACCTCGCTACATTCTCGGATGCAGGCCGCACAGCAGATGCGACACTGTCTGTGCTGTTTCATTCCGCTAACCCCGTGAAAGTACTTCCCTTCTCGTTCTCACTCTGCCTCCCTCTACTCCCTCCTGAACTTCCCTTTCACTTCAATTCTTATACACTGATATCCCTAGCTCAGAAGAAAAAGAAGAAAGAAAACCCAAACTATAAACTATATTTTTGGTAACTAGGACCCTAGTTTTTCTGTCTCCAAACCTCATAAGGCACACAAGTAACAAAGCATAGTGTTTCCTCCTGCAGCTAACATTGGGACTCCCGTCAAACCCATAGTTAACTACGGCAGTCAGCTTTCCTGATGAACATAAATCCAAGTGAACCCACCAGGATGACCCACACAACATCAAACAACAGGAAGGGGGAACTGGAATGCACAGAACCTCCAACAGTTGTGAAAAACACAAGAAACAAAACCCATGAGGCTCAGCAAGGGCTCTCTGGGCAGATGAAGGAACTTTGAGAATGTGGAAGTGGGCTTTGAGAGTTTTGGCCTGCGCCCACTTCCTATCCACTCGCTTGACTTTCTGAGTGATGCAAAATGTAATCAGCCAGCTTCCTGCTCTAGCTATCTTCTCTCAGATATGTAAGCCAAAATAAAACTCTCCGCAGGCTGCTCTTGGTCGTGGTGCTTTATCACAGCAACTACTGCTGTGACAGTTTCTTCAGCCAAGACCTCCTCCTGGGGTCTCCACCTCTGATACTGGATTTTTCTCAACCATTTTTATGACTCTTAGAAACACCCCTTCCTATTCATGCAGGGCACTGTCATTTCAATTTCTAACTGCTGTCTTTACTGCTCCTCCTGATGTTTTTACATCTCTAAGGGTAAACATTATGTAAAGAAACCTATTTATAGAGAGTTGGAAGTGTCTCCGCAGGCTCACCATAACCCACACCAGTGTCAGTTGATCTTGGCTACACAGATACTGAAAAAGAAACTTTAACAAGATCCAAGTGTGTGTAAGCATTACAGCTCCCATGGAAAGATTTCCTGGCAGCTGGGAGCCAAGGAATACCACCAAGTCACACCGCACAAAAAACCAGGAGGGTTGCTGCCTCTGCTCAGGCAAGAAACAGCAGCAAATCTCTATAAAAAATACAGGGTTTGGGGGCTGGAGAGATGGCTCAGAGGTTAAGAGCACCGACTGCTCTTCCAGAGGTCCTGAGTTCAATTCCCAGCAACCACATGGTGGCTCACAACCATCTATAATTGAGATCTGGTGCCCTCTTCTGGCGTGCAGGCATGGAGGCAGGGTGTTGTATTCATAATAAATAAATATTAAAAAAAATACAGGGTTTATATAGAACCTCTTGGGAAGGCGTGGAACTTTTCAGGGTGGAGCTTTCCAGAGTGGAGATTGGTGGGATTTCATATCCATAGATTGGGTTTTTACAGTTAGGGCAGGTAGAGTATTCTGTGGGTGGAACCTGGCCATTGGGGGAGGGGCTTGGCCACTCGAGTGACTAGAGGGGTGTACAGTATGGAAATACCATCATTGTTAGCAGTTGTTCTGTCAAAAGAGCGATGTTGGGTACAGTGGCACAGTGGGTAGGTATTACCTCATCTGGTG